TCATGCAATTTCCCAATGATTTTCAACTAGTATTAATTATCAGCTGTCTATCAACCATTATTTGTTCAAGGAGCGAGTAAACTTGGACGCTTCCTGAAACGTATGTGACACATTTCCTAGTTTACTAGTTTTCTTTGTGACGATCGAGCTGAAAAGCTAATAATTTTGTAATAGCGTTGCATTTTGTCCATATTTTCAATCCAATGGATCTTCGAGCAGTTGAAAAAACTAGTGAAAACGACACTGCTGTGAGCGGCTGGGATCGGCGAAAGTACTCAAAATTAATATCCTATCGTTCATAATCCTTTTTTACTGAGTGGCCGTAACGGCATTCAAAAAATACTTCTTGAGATTATTATAATAGGATTGTACGAAAGCATACTTGGAAGGTCTGCTACTTTTCTAGGTGTCGGTAGTAGGCGAATACGTGCGCGCGAATGGTCCTTTCGACGGGATACTTGGATTCAGTCAAGGAGCGTCAATGGCTCATCTATTGCTGGCTATGGAGAAAAATGGCGAAATCAAGCTAGGCTTCCGCTTTGCTATATTGTTTGCTGGATTCTTAAGTTTGTCATCAGTTCACAATTGCTATACATGTCAGACATTAGATATTCCTTCACTACATATCTATGGTTCTAGCGATCAAATAGTAATAGCCGCCACCAGTGAAGAACTGAAATCGATGTTTACCAGCAGTATAGCAATTGTTCATGATGGAGGGCATTTCATTCCCTCCATGTCAAAGTATAGGGACATTTTTAGTGAATTTCTAGAAAGATTTGTTGACAGTCAGTGACATTGTACGTGGTCTTCTTGTTGTGATAAGTTTGGTTGTGATGTTTTCGTGATGAATTTTTTGAATGTTGTTGCTTCTTGCTGAACCATTCAGTTACTTGTCTGATTGTATCTGGAACAGCTTTTGTCCCTTTACAATCCATTTTCAGCACAAGAGGGCTGGAATGTTCTCATAACTAATTTATGCAACATTAATGTTTACTTTTAGAAATGTATCGTTAATATGGGGAATTGTATTAGCGAGGACGCACAAAAAGGGCACAAGGACTTCTTGAAAAGCGTGAAATCGGATCCAGAGAAGCAAGTTACTTCTTTCAGAGTTTATTTGCATAGAAGAAACAAGTTCATCCATGGTAATCCTTACACTTTTTCTCGCAATTAAACACTAAATCACTTGAGTTTTGTTAAGCGTGGTTGCGAATTTCGGCTGATGATGTGACACTAGAACGATCTAAAACTGATGTAGTGGTCTGGCCGTTGCAGTACCTTCGACGATACGGTTACACATCGGCTGGTATGTTTATTAGTACTACCACGTTCATGTTTCCTATCATCGTTATTATCCATACTGTTTGCTGGTCCTATCAAGCCTATTCGATTTCCCACATATTGTTTCAAAATGAAGTAAAATCTGCAAAATTGTAAACCTCTTAATTTTGAAGTCATCCTCCTCTACGGTTTGATCTGTTAAGTGAGATGTAACAAAGTGAGGCGAAGCTTAGGATCTTTTCGCCATAGGATAGTATGATTTTTCTAATTAGAGCGACATATAGCTCCACCGATATAGGGGCACAGTCAGAAATCCCAATTCCAGCACCGTCGTAACATTTGCGTTTTGCTAGCCTTTCTATAGGTTTTTCCTGTCTAGAAGGTGCGAGTTTTACATTCTACATTTTGGTGCACGTTCCACACCGTTGCACCTGCCGTCCTTCGATAGCCTGTAGCCGGCTGTCTCTAAATCTGATTGCGAATAGGGGGTGCAAATTTTTGCCTCTTCGCACACAAACTAAAAACCTCGATAAGTTTCGATCGATACCGGTCAATAAGGGCGGAAGTGGTGTAGTGGCAAGTGGCGCGCTTACCACGCGAGCGGTCCGGGGATCAAATCCTGGGTCGTGAGTCGCCCGGGCCAACCAAGCCTTCCATCCCTCCGGGGTCGGTTAATTGGTACCAGACTTGTCTGGGAGGATAAAAACACTGACTTGTACATCGGCTGGCCCCCGCAAGTCATTGTATAGGCCACATCGCATTCAAACGCCACTACGAATGTACAAATGGAAGTAGAATGCGTGCCGCATCCCAAAAAGGGATTGATCAACGGCAAATGCTTTATCCTTTATCCTTTTAGTCAATGGCTATGGTGAGAATTTTCGTCTCTGCAGGTGTAATCTCTCATGGACATGGCCAACTACTATTTTCGGCTCTAAACAAATAATTTATTAATTTATTGGTTTTCGATCGAAATCGGTGAATAGCACATTCCGTTTTCGCTCTAGCAACTGTACTCACTCGTTGTCTTTGAATCATCCTGTGTTGGTGTCACATTTTACTCTTTTCCGCCCCTTGTCTATGTCGTGAATTTTTTCCGCTCTCGGGACCAGCTCTGTATACCACAGCGCGCGCCATGTCTACCATTACCGTTCCACATCCACTCCCTCACAGTTTTTATCCACCTTTTTCCTACTTCTTGGATCTTCTCAGAATCACCGATGTGATTTTGGGTTTTAACTCCGTTCTCGCTGTAAGCTCTTCGCTCGCCTGTATCTGCTTTTCCCCCACCTCAAGGCCTTCTCAGGGGCTATGAACCGAGTCACGAGTTTTTGAAATCTGCGTTCCTATTAAAAGAACAGACTCCGCCTACATTGAGCGGACCCTTGCTTGATTTCACTTAACGATATATTCAACTTCACAGGGAGAGCCCATCCCTACCGTTTTCATTCTGTGTTGTTCATCAATCCGACCGATTTTGCTTTAGGAGTGTTCTTTTTCGAAAGTGGCCGGCGATGTCCCACAGGAGAAGGTCTTCATACATTCCAAAGTCACAACGCTGACGCAATATTTCAAGTGGGTTGAATCCTTCCTTTTCGTTGGGGAGAAGGGAGTTAACTACATACTAAAAGGTCACAATTGGAGCAATGCTCGACGGAGATACGCTTTAACAGTAACTGTTTCAAAATTTTTCAGCTTGTTCAATCGCGAATTCAAGATAACGCCAACACTCATCATGCCGAAACAATGCGACGAAACGAAAGAGCTCGGAGTAGTGGGCCCACAATGGGAACAGGGGTTTCTTTACGCTGTATCAATCCCATTCAAAGATACGGGAGCGAAGGTGAGTGGATAGTGTAAATTGGATACATGTCTTCTTTTCTGGCCCTGGTCCAGTGGCGACCGCGCACACGGGAAGGTTCCACATAAGTGGAGGTATATAGTATTGCTTCTATGCATACAAGGTGAGCCGAAATTCATGCTCAAGTGCGGCTGTCCAACTCACTTTTTTCCCTATCTCTACTTTCCTCTTGCTTTTTGGGCAGAATTTAATAGGATGGAAATGTCATAGAGCTTTGAAAATGAGTGAAATAGCTACATTACAGTACGCCAGTCCTCAAATTTAATAACGAGAGGTTTTGGCGCGTTACATCTATGATATTCATGTAAGAAAGAAACTCTTGTGGATCACAGTTCAACGCTTCAGTAACCTAAGATCCACATAAGATGGATCAAAGAGAGATTAGGTGGTCACATTCGCCCGCCAGGTCAAATATCAACTGCTCTGCTCCTTGCAACTTTTGTACCGCAATGAACAAATTAATGTAAAATCAAACTGCACACTCTTAAGGTGTGATATCTGTCATAAAGAACAACCCCAGTTGAAGGCCAATACTCGAACGTCCGTTTGTAAAGACAAGCTCCTACCTCATAATTAGAATGTGAATAGCCATACGGTTCACGCACGGGCTCTACTGGCCATTCTCGTGATACCGATACGAGAAATCGTGTGCCGCAAGCGAAAAGCGGCTAGTGAACCTTACACTTTGTCGTGCGTCTTTTGTTGCTTCTTGGCTGCTGTGACAGAAAATCGAAGTGGCCACTTCTTCACGTGATAGTGTAGCTTTTCCTTGACAGTGTGTCCCACCGGACTTCGATGCATTCAACAGTCTCACCATCCTTCTGACGAAGCACGGTGCATTGCTAACCAACAATTTCAATCATTCTACCCGTGGAAATGTTAACCATTCTTCCTCGTCAAGGGCTTGCTAATGAGTGTTCCTGTTTCTTTGCATCGTTTGATGGCCCTCTGTACAGTCGGCGGAAGCCGCAAGAAATCTACTATAGTAGCATCCTAAGATGCTGCCCATCAATAAACCAATTAGAGAACTCATCGAGCACTTTCGCATAAAGAAGCAACGATGAACCTTTTGTACGTATCAGCGACGAGAAGTGGTTAAAGATGTGCAATGGCACGCTTCTGCTTCTGAAGCAACATTTCATAAATGTTTTGCCGCGGGAGATCTATCAATGACGCGTCATTGTCTGTGCCGACATCAAAAAAAAAAATTTTTTTTTTTTTACTAATGTGCGCCATGAGCCAAGTGTTTTGACCATCCGTGTGCACTTTGTTTTCTGCGCCATGGACGACGACATCTTTGAAAAGTCGATATCACATGTGCTTTTTTAGTTTTTCTGAAGGAAGTCATTAAGTTCATGAGCGTCATATTGGATAATAATTGATCGTAATAACTATTGTTTGCTGGGATGTAGTTGGATCTCGCATAGTTGATATCCCGTTTCGACCTTTCTGTTTCGATTACCTTATATGTGGCTCACAATGTAACACTGCAATTCGTAGTTGAGTGCCTTTCTTAACTAATCTGACCATTGCTCTTCAGTAAGCGAATACACCTCCTTTCTTCTCTTCCTTTTCCCTTTCGGAGTCAGACTGACCTTTTGAGATCCTCTCCCCCATTATTTCACCTAATTTATTTTTTAAACAGTTTCTTTATTTCTTCGGTGATACATGACCAAAGATATATTTAGGTGCAGGGGTTGGGTCGGAATATCTAGCGCAACCAAGCTGGCTACAATTCCTATCATCGCGGATCGGCTTCAGCGGCTTCGTAATGTCGTAATTCCTCCACCACCACGGCCAAGGTAAAATAAGGCTCTGTGATCCATTGATATAATTGAAACATCAAAACGATTATTTTCAAGAAGCGTTGGCGAAACTGAAGCTCCTTGCTTGCCTCCTGATAGTTTTCATCCCCATCGCCACAACACTTTTGTTGACCAACGCATCGTTGGGAACATCGTGTAGGTTCACTATCGTTAATACTCTACTTGTACGTCCATCACAGCTAATACGTTCTAGTTCGGAGAGCACAAATCCGTCAGCCGTAGACGATGCAGCGCGAAGAGCATGTTCTACGACCAGCCAGATCATCACAGTGGAGTATTTTCTGTTCCTTAGTGAAACTATTTCCCGCCGCAGAGGTCCTTCAAATGATGCGTGAGCTCTCGTAATAACCATTCGGAAAACAGTGTATTAGTTTGCTTTTAATTTTAGCTCCTTCTCCGCCGAGATCTCATGCACTTTCCACATCAAGCAGTCAAGGAAGTCTTCCAGGCACTCCTACACGCACTGTTTTTTTTCCCATTGCGATGGTATGTTATCAATGATGTAGATTTCTCACTAGCGTTAACCGGGATGGTTTCCCTATCAGATGAGACCACTAAGCCAAACAAAGAAATAGAACCAGCTTGAGCATCTTCAAAGATGCTTATGCCATAGGCAAGCATAAAATTATACTGACATCCATCCAGTTCGAGCAAGTACATTTTTGAACATAACACGCTATAAGACTCACAATTTTTGACTAGGGATACTGGAGCGGGCTCGACCAATGTGCTCTGCTACACGAAGCCCATTTCCCCACCTGTGGTGACACCAGGTGGTGACAGTTTGTTGGCAGTCGAGGCATCTCAACACATCGGCAGATATGTTAATATCACGGAAGTAAGTCACGTCACAGAAATGGAAATCCTCCTTCATATGATTTAGTACTTTACATACGCCCTTTCGATGCAAATTCTGGAATTGCTATTGAATATTTCACCTGTTCAGGCTGGTGGTCGGCCTCTGCTGGAACGAGATGGCACCAGTTCCCCTCGCCCACTTAACTATGCAGAAGTTGGTGTAGGCTCTGAGCCGGAAAGAGTTCCGAGCAGGTAATCAGAGCACCTGCCCAACGTTATAGAACTGTAGTCGACAGTAAAAAAAAAAGTTGAATGAAAGAAAAAGTGAAGTAATTAGTGAGTATGTTTAGGTGTCTTCTTCTGTTGGTCCAACGTACTCGATACTTCGAAATGGTGCAGCTGAAGCTATACATTGGATTGATGCCTGAACAACACAAGCTTCAATGCAGCCCCCGAATGAGAATGCGTAGACGTAATGCCTACCCGGGACCATTGAATAAGATACTCGCGAAGTTGGTGGACGTCATCAACTTTTTACATTGATAAGCTTATCCCACTAGCAAAAGCAAAGACTTCGACGGATTTGATTCTCAATCACTTTGTAGCTCTGCATGGATTTATTCTCATCATTATCCAATAGTAGTTAGTCATTAAGAATCGAGCGATCTTGTAAGACTTCTTTCGTCTTGGCTGGTGTCAGTGTCCGCGATCCTTAGCACCATTCGCACGATTTAGCGCGAATCGCAAAAATCACACAGTGCCTCATTTGAGCATTTGAAACATTGAATACGAAACAAAGGGAATCACGAAAGTCTTCATTCACCTTCACCATCAAGCAGAAATTGCGGCGGGTTTAGAGCACCTCGCAGTCGCGGGACGGTTCGCGGACTCGACACCAGCCTTCGTATTTTTTGTGTTGTAGATGACAAGGTAGTGGTGTAGGTTTATATACGATCGCTAGGATTGGTGGGAAGCTGGAAAGTTCAGCAGTTCACCAGTTCTTATCAAAAGTTACCTTAAAGGACGAATTCACGATGAAAAAGCAACCCATTTCAAATTAACCTAGGGATGGTGAGTGGTACACGAAAGAAGGAAGAACCATGAGAAACGGCCCAGAACCCGAGAAATGGGACCCCTTCCTTGCCCGTTGATTTGAGCATTGATGCGACTCTCATCGCTGTGCCCTCTTCAACACTACGCTCTCTCTGCTATCTAATCACTCGCCACTGAGGTGCAGTCGATTAGATGCGGGAATGGGGGGGGAACCCGCCAACCGCGCCAAAGTGGGCCCATACAATGATCGCCGGGGGGAGGTCAAATCTTTCACTGCTAATTGCGTGCCTGTCCACCAGTCTCCCCACTCTGCAGTTTTCCTCATCTCAGACCTTTTTTATCGTAAAACACTTTTTTAGTGAGCGTGTTTCAAGGTTCTTGTGCTTATCGCCAGATATATTCTTAGCTTCATCCTGATCCTTATCGTGATATCGCTAAGCCGAAGGGCAGAACGAAATATACCCCTAAAACTTCATCTTCACCAGGAAATGTTGTCGTCTATTTCACTTTGAAAAACTTAGAAACTTAGCTTCAAAAATGCATCAACATTTGTTGCTCTGGCGTTTTGGTGTTCTGCCACTTTCTCATACAGCATACATTCATGCTCCTGCGCACTCGGAGTGACCGCCAGATGATTGAGGTAATGTTCATATGTTCTCGACATTCAATATGTTACTCTTCTCACACTGAATATTCATTTACCAAATAGTTCAAAGTCCCGATCGTGTGAGCCAGTCACCGCCACCACTACCATTTAGAAATTTTCTTGCCGTTAATTTGCTTCATTTTGTTACATTTTCGTCCCGAAGTCATTTCGGATTTGCATCCTTGTTTTCTCTCCTATCCAATTTGTTTCCTTTTTTATACTTGTAACCTCATTACACTCCGACTTGCCTTTGTGCCTTATTACAGAAAGCCTTTACTTGCTGTGCCTATCCACGTCGTATTATAGGTGCCACCGCATATTCTTGTTATTTGACCCTTTTATGCGTGTTATCCTCCATGCCAATTCACCCATCCTCTTATACCAGTATTCGAATAGCTGTCATAAGAGAGATCTGTCATCAGTCGTACCTCGTCCTCAGAAAGCTCATAATTCGTGCCTGACTAGTCAGAAATATGCGTCACGTCTATCTAGCCAACCTTGGCTTTACACATTGATCATCACTATATTTTCCCGGTTCATATGTTTTGTTAATGTTACCAGTTGACGTAATTATTTTTTTTTACCAATCATGTGTTTGCATTTTCTGTTTTCCATATGAAATCTTTTTATACCAAATAATTTTGACTCTTTTAAATACACACATGAGAAAGTAGCTCTTAAACCGAACACAATAACACATTCTGTTTCCCAGAGGCGGACTCAGCGTTTTCCAAGTTCTGTACAGCACAGCTACAAGAGACGTGTAAATACATGTACAGCTAGTAAGCTCTACTAATGGTAAGCTGTGGATGTTATATAAGAGAAAAATGGGGAGGGGGAGGTGGGCAATCGCATTATAATACAAACATACTATAATATTCAAATCGATCTAAGCATTTCCCGCAGGGAGACCACACATGGAGCAGTCTGGACGCTGTTCCG